TTCCTAAGTTTTAAATTTATCGTCTGCAGTTAATTTTTGTTTTTTGTTTTAAATCTTTCATCTTCAGCTATCTTTTCAATGAAGGAAGAAAAAAAAACTGAAATCTTGACAACCATTCATGAATCGCAGTCTTATACCTAATTGATATGAGCAGCACGTTCGATAAATTACCATTCGCTTAACTATAACACGATCCAGCAGAATATTGCAAGCGTTGCAATTTCTGGAAAAGCATGTAAGGGCATTATTTTTGTTTGCTTTTATACACATATTTATAATTATTAAGAAGGAAAATTATTTTTCAAGCTTTCGCCTCTTTATGTTAAGATAATCTGCCTTCGTAATTTCTATTAGAAAATGTCAAAATTAGTTCGGAAAATTTTCTCAATGATAAGCTATTACTGTAAAATATTTGTTACTCTTAAAATATACTAGACAAGTTTTTTTTTCTTATCTAAAAAGTAAAATTTATAATTAAAAAAACTACTGCAAAAATTTGCTGCATACGGAATCGTTTGCTTAAAAAATTCCAAAGCTTTTTTACCTTATTTTTCTACAATATTTTATTAAAGAACTGGAAGTCTCTACCCCCCCCCCAACTGTTCTTTTTGTTCACCAGCCCCCATGAATGCTTCTCATTCTTTACTTATAATTTTTTTTTTTTAAATGATAGTAAAAATAAAGGTCATTTCGTTCATGAAATATAGAATTATTTTCTTACGTATGTGTTTTATGTAAGTAAATAATATTGTAATTGTAAGGATGCTTCGTTCGCCTAAAACTGTCAACAGTATTGACTAATTAAAAGCAAAACATTTTTAATAGAGATAAAAATTAGCAATTTTTATGCCTTATTTATATCAGCTTACCACTGAAAGTGAATGCAAGGAATATTTTCGTTATAAATATCTGTAATTAGTCATGCAAGTCATGGTGGTTAGTTATGATTGAATAGTTAAGTAGATTAGATAAACAAAAATGAATATACAGCGTATATTTTTAGACGCACGTGGCATTCTAGTAATTATTAATAATACGTTAATCGTTGCGAAATAGATGATTAGCTGGATTTAAAAAATAATCAGCTGTGGTTAGAAAAAAATTAACTAAAGAAAACAGAAAACATGCGTCACACAATTCAAATCGGAAACAATTTTTATCTCTCTTGAATGGAATCCCTGCAAGTGACTTAGTGTGGGTATCTCGATCCTGATTGGTTGTTAAAATGTGGCATTAGCAACTGTTCTTTCCATTCCATTGCGAGTAAGCCAAGCCCGTCAAGTATCAATTCTCTTAAGTGACGCATTTTATATTCTTTCACAAAGATTTCAATTCATTCACTATCTATTTCTTATTTAACACAGGACAAACACGAAACATGTAGTACATAAACTAATTATGCATCGAANGAGTAAGCCAAGACCGCCAAGTATCAATTCTCTTAAGTGACGCATTTTATATTCTTTCACAAAGATTTCAATTCATTCACTATCTATTTCTTATTTAACAGAGGACAGGCACGAAGCATGCAGTACATAAGCTAATTATGCATCGAAATTGCCAGGTATACGAAAAATAAATAAATAAAAAAATTTAAAAGAAAAAAAAAAACATCACTGTCACAATACATAAACAGATAATAAATCTAAGTTAAGTAAAAGACGTAAAAGAGAAAGAATTATATTTCAATAAATTAGATGTGTGATAAGGCGTTGTAGTTAATTAACTTTACTCGTTAATTAACATTCTAACTTATGTGGAGAAACTTAGTTCAACTTTAACAAGCTATTTTGCTTATAAGCGATCAATTGGCGCTTACATCATAGGTCACACGTGTGGGTATCCGTGATCTTATTATTTTTGAAGTGCAAGTATACAATTTAGCTTTTTACGTTTTTAAAAATTTCCGTATAATTTCTAAGTTGTTACATTTGGCAACATCTAATCTTGCTTTCTTACTTTAGTTATTTATAATTTTCGACATCAGCTCAAGAGTTATAGGGTATAAGGCAAGGTTAGATGGCCATTGAAGAAAGATGGTCAAATTTATCAATTTGGACAAAACGTTGCTTTTCGTGACAGCAAAATAAAAAATAAAAAAAACAAAAAAAAATTAAATTTTCAATATTTGTTTTATTTAGGGGTCAAACATTTTTCGCTAATTGAGTATTTTGTCGTTCTCCAATACGTATTTAATATTTTTTTCAACTAGCAGAGAACTTTAATAATAATAATAATCTGCAACTTCAGAAGAAATGGTCACGTGAATTCGATGAGTCATGGCCTTTTCTCATGATAAAAAGGGCCATGACTCACCGATGGTCACGTAATGATATATCCGGGAACGTAAGATTCTTAAAAAATTTAAAAAATGGTTGCGAAAGTTAAAGAAAAAATGTATTTTAGTAAATTCATATTTACCACCACGCTATAATATGTTAATAAATCTAGTTTCGTGGTTTTCGTTTGGTTTCGTACTTTTAAGATAAAAGCTAATAATAAAAGAAAATTAGCTTTGTTGTTACAATATTGAAAGCTCTTTTTTACTTTCTTTCAACGCGGGTACGAACCTAGCATATTACATTCTGCAGTCCAAATACTATAACCCTTTAACCTACTAAGTAGAACCCTACATACTATCCGATTCTGCAGACACAGAATTTGACGAATATCTGTGTGTTAGCCATTGATCACAGATGTATGTCAAAACGGGGGGTGGGGGGCTCTCTCCTTAGCTCTCTCTCTCTTTCTTTGTATATATTATTCAAACCGGGTCCGAATAATCTGAGCCTCACAAAATGGCAATTAAGAATTCGAGCTTGCAATTTTAACTTCGTGATTCGAATTGTTTTAAAATTAATAATCGAAATTGTTTACCTGTAAATTATTTATCACTCATTCAACGGTATTTTTTTATTTTTTTTTATTCAACTTCACTGTTTTTTTTTTTTTTTTAATTATTATGATTGCTGTGATATTTGAAATAAAGAATTATCCCGCATCGGTCAGCAATAGGGACGTATATTAGGGACTACAGAGGGATGATTTGGTACCAGTTTTCACCAAAGAAATGTTAAAGCTCGCTTGAAATACAGGTACTATATTTTTAGATTTCCGATTTAAAAAAAATGCTATTAATTTTTATTTAATTGTAAATTTAAATACTTAGTGAAAAATTATAATCTTGGGAGGGGCTGTAAATGTAAGGGTGCTACAGCCCCCTCTGCCTCCCCCCGGTTCCGTGGTCCCTGGTGATAGATATAGAGAAGAATACAATATCGCAACTAAAAATGATAGCTGGAATTTTTTTCGCTTAAATTAAATTTGAAAATGAGATCTTGTTAATTGGTTTTTTTCCCCTTCATGCTTTCAATGATAAAATTCATTATTTACGTAAGTGTTATCGTAAGTGTTCCATAATAACATTATACACATAAACATAACATTTACGGCAGAAATTCCCAAGCCATTTGTCACAGCGGTAAATGCCAAACGTCGTTTGCAGTGATGCCACAGTCACAAAACCTGGTAGATTAATAAGTGTATGTTCATTAATTAGTGTATGTATGTACATTTGTATGTTCAGGCGAATCATCTTTCATACTTTTCCAAACAACAAGACTGGTATACATTTGGAAGACATCTTCAGAAGCTTATGATCATCATTGTCTTTTTCCAACTGTCAAGCATGGAGGTGGATCTGTCATGGTTTGGGCAGCAATGTCGAGGTTTTATGCTGGCCCAATTATAAATCTGAAAGGAAATGTCACCGGGGAGTATGGACAGTTTTGGCTGACGAGGTTCATCCTAAGATGCAAAATTTGTTTCCCGTAAGAGATGAGATTTTCCAAATCAACGGGTTTTCCATTATTTTGATAACCACCTGTATATTATAATGAATTACTATCGATAAATAATCAATTAAGACAAAATACTTTTTGGAATTCTCCATATTTTGATGATTTTCAGGAAATAACCAAATTCAAATGAAAAAATCTCAGTGAAGATCATGATCAAAAAGAGCAAATAAATAAAATGATCGAAAGCAATTGCTTGTTATGCTAATACCATAGAAATTTATCATATAATTTTTTTCCTCCTAAATTTGGAAGATTCCGAAAATATTTAATGGATAAAGAAGATAACATAGATTTTATGGACATTAGAGTTTTTTTTTTTTATCAACTAATAATTAGAATATTCTTTATAAAATATAAAAAATTTCTACTAACTAAACTAAATAACTAATATACAGTATAATAAAAGATTAAAACTAAATCCATTTTTGAGTTTTCAATATTTATTTGATTCAGGAAATAATCAAATTTGCATAAGAAACACAAGAAGAACATTCTGATCGAAATAAATAAATAAAACAATAAAAATATTTCCTCGACTTAGATGATAACAATCTTTTTTTCTATCTAATAACCAAGATACGAATATAATAACTAAGACACAAATAATAATCCTATTTCTTTCTAAATTTAAAAGAAGATTTCGAACATATTTAGTAAATAAGGAATTTTTGAATCTTCAATATTCGAATGATTTGCAGAAAATAAAATAACCAAATTCCCCGACTTATATTTACTGAACATAAAAATTTCCACCCCTCGAATTCCTTTGAAAGAGGGGAAAAATACATAGCATTGCGAACCCTCTGACCTAGCCTTCAGTTGAAAACTACACTTCAACCTACTCTCAAACTTTTTCCCCTAACAACCGCCGAAGAGGGAGGGAGACGGAAAAAAAAAATAAAGAAAGAAATGAATATAAAAAAAATATTCTCGCAACTCCGTCCATCTTTGTGACAGGCAGGAGAAGGGGAGGGAGGGAAGGGAAGGAAGAAATCAAACAAACCAACTGAGGAAGGAAAAAAGAAAAAAATATTCCCCCCTTTCCCCCTCTGAAGGAACCAATCGGATTGCTTTCCGATCTCACAACGTCATGACGCTCTTGGCGCCGCCTCGCGAGAATATTGGGCGCTCTCTCGGAAGTGCACACAAACAACGGAGTCAGTGTGTAGTTTTCGCATCATTGTGGGGAGTTGTTTTCTTATCCGTTGTTTGTGAAGCTTCGGTGTGGCGCGGCATCGTGTAGTCAAGCTTCATGGAGGGCAACGAAAGGCCCTCAGCTCATGTGTCGTGTCTATATCCCGAAATTTTAGCTCTCATTTTCAGCTATTTGGACGTCAAAGACAAAGGAAATGCTGCGAGAGTATGTACAGCTTGGCGAGATGCGGCCTACCACAAGTCTGTATGGCGGGGTGTGGAAGCCAAATTACACTTGCGTCGCTCCTCCAACCCTTCTTTGTTCCAAAGCCTCGTTCAGCGCGGTATACGACGTATACAAGTCTTAAGTATACGCCGTTCTATGAGAGAAGTTGTGCAAGGTATACCAAATTTAGAAAGTCTGAACTTAATTGGCTGCTACAATTTAAGCGATCATTGGTTCCAACAGGGTATGGCACACCACGTACCTACACTGACTGTGATGAACTTGAGTATGTGCAAACAAATATCGGACGAAAGCATTCGAAAGTTGTCTGAATTTGCTGTGAATCTCCAAGTCCTAGATTTGGGTGGTTGTAGCAATATCTCGAACGATTCACTATTTTTAATCGCGTGGGGACTTCTGAAGTTAAAAAGCCTGAACCTGAGAAGTTGCAGACAAATATCAGATCCAGGAATTGGACACTTAGCTGGTAAAAGTGAAGTGGTAGGTACCAAGTACCTAGAATATTTAGGTCTTCAGGACTGCCAAAAATTGACAGATGAAAGCCTAAAACATATGAGTGAAGGATTGGTTTCACTGATAAGTGTTAATCTCAGTTTCTGTTCTGGTATAACAGATTCTGGATTAAAACATTTGGCGCGAATTGCCTCTCTAAAAGAATTAAATTTGAGAAGCTGTGATAGTATTTCAGACATAGGCCTGGCCTATTTGGCTGAAAATAGTTCGCGAGTGACTGCTTTAGATGTCAGTTTTTGTGACCGAGTTGGTGACCAGGGATTATTACATATATCCCAAGGATTGTTCAATTTGAGAAGCCTTAGTCTCAATGCTTGTCCAATTAGTGATGAAGGCCTTGGTCGAATAGCCCGGACGTTAACAGACTTAAGAACGCTGAATATTGGTCAATGTAGTCGAATTACTGACAAGGGTTTAAGTCTTGTTGCTGAGCACTTGCAGAGACTTCTGTGTATAGACTTATACGGCTGTGTCAATATCACAACTGTAGGCTTAGAAAAAGTGATGCAGTTACCCCATCTTAGTGTCCTTAATTTAGGTCTGTGGCAGAAAAGGTGACACCAATTCTGCAGAATATTTTACTAGTGCCATTTAAATAGGATATATTTTTATCAAGATCATCTTAACCTGGATTATACGCCTAGAAATTGTTTTAAGTATTTATTTTGTTTGTTTTTTTATTCCATTTGAAAATATTCAGTTTTTACATCTGTAAATAGCATCATGAGCATAGATTTAATTTTTCTATATTTCTCAATGTGGTGAAGCAACTACCTCAAAAGAAAAATTTTACGAGAATGCTTGCATGTGATATATTTTTAATTTTACAGAATATTTGCATTAGGGTAGTTTATTTGCTGTTTCATAATTGCTGACATTTCAATATTTTCTGTTTTAAATTTTTTATAAGAAATTTGATTTCCTAGTTTTTTACAGATCAGAATTCTGATCAAAACGCCTTAAATAACAAATTATACAGAATTAATATTATTAGATAGCTATCATTTAGTTCCTTTAATTAAATATTTTAAAGCCATATTACATTAAATGTTTGTGTGTTAACAATTTATGGCAAACTGAAAAGTGTTTTTAAATTCTATTTACACAATGAAATTTGTTTTTTTCTTTTACATATCGGGAAAGAATCTCATAATTCTGATCAAAACATATTGAACAATTAATATTATGAAATTATTATCATAATAAGAAAGCTATCATTTAGTTCCTTCTTTAATCATTTCCATTCATATTACATTAATAAAAGGTTTCTTTACAATTCAAGAAACTGAAAAGAAATAATTTATCTCTGCATTTTTTAAATTTGATTTAATAGTTTTTACAGATCAAAATAAAATCAGATGATTCTGATCTAAACATCTTGAATATTTAATTTTTTTGAATTGTGTTAATAAGATCTAACATTTAGTTCCTTCCTTAATCCAGTCATATTGAATTAAAATTCTTATAAATTATAACATACTGCAAAGTTTTGTTTATTCAAAACAATGATAATTTAAGATAATCTTATCTACAAATTCAAGAATGAAATATTTTAATAACTGGGATGTTGTCTATAATAATTCTATTCAAAGAATTTTAAATTTGAAGCTTTAGTCTTATAGAATTATTTATGTGTTAAATGATTATCATTTAGTTTAAAATTTTAATTAGATTCTGATTTTAAAGCATGTTAATTGAACCATCATTAAAATTTTAAAGCATGTATTGGAATTAAATACCTGCCTTGTAATTTCAATAAACAACGATCAATTAAGATAAGTCAAGTATTTCATTTAAAGTAAATTTGTGTTTGCAATTTATTATAAGTTCAAAAATTATTATCTGTTAATTAAATTATTTTTCATAAGAGAATTTTGAAAACAATATTGTTTTCACTTTTTTTTACAGAAATTATTACCATTATTTATAAAAATTATTTAAGAGGAACTAGACTATATTGTTTAAATTAATTAATCTATTTTTAATTCAAAAAAATTTTTTTACATTTATTTTTAAATATTTTCTTTCTTTTCATCTAATCTAAATTAACAATTTATATTTTCATTTTATTTCAAATTTTGGAGTACCTATAGTCTTTCTTTTTCTTCTTAAAAGGAACTATTCTACATAATTTATAAATATTTATATTCTTATTTCATTAATGTTAGTGACGTACGATGTCAGAAAGTGAGTTGCAGAATATAAGTAATTTACAGCTGTGGGTTTTTCATTTTGAATTACTTAAAGAAAAAAGATAAAAATTTTTTCCTTTCAGTGCTGTTAAGTTAATTAATTGTACTAGTTTAGAAGTTATATTTTTCTTAAAAGTTAATTTTTTATTTTGTAAGAAATATTTTAAAGAATTCTTTTTTTTTTTTTAAAAATTTTTTATTTGTTTCTTTTCATAAAAAAGTACTTAGGTTAAAAGTTGTAGTAAACTATTAACTAGAATCAGAATTGCAGTAATGAAACTAGTATTATTAACTAGTGAGTTTATCAGTTTAAATTTTAAAACTACAGAGTTTATTAATTAAAAAATTCTTAACTAATGAGTAATTGATTTTATATTCAATACTACCCTTTTAATCATTCAGTTGTAAGGTGTTTTGTAAATCATTCTAAATTTTGACTATTAACAATTGGTTAATCATGCAAACAGTTTTGTTTTGGCTTAAATATAATTCACATATGTCTTCCCATTTTCTTAAAGCAAATATCCTGATGATTTTACCGTTACTAGTACAAAATTTAACTAATAACTTTTAAGTTTTTTTTTTGTTTTTTTTTTGGGATGTGTATTAAACATAAATGTCAAAATTTTTATTTTATCCTCATAAACAAACATTCTGATTTATTATTTTTGAAATTAATCTATAACTTTAATAAAATTAATTCGTTAATAACTTTTTCTTCAGAAAAGTTTTTAAAAAAATATTGATATGTTGCTTACTAATGGTAAAAATTTGGATAGAATAAAAATGTTAATTTTTTTTGTTGCTACAATCTAAATTTTTTCTACTAACTGAAAATTTTTTTTTCTTTGCAAACTGAAGATTTATTTACAATCTTCAGTTATTTTATATTAATTTTTTTATTGTTGTTTTTGTATTTCAAGAAAGGCTTAAAAGACTTCTTAGCTTTAACCTTATTAACAAGCATAAAATAATGATGAATATTAAGAGAAACAATGATTTAGAAATTACTTCATTGAAATTTTGTGACTACAAATGATTCAAATTTTACTTCTTGGATTGTCTGAACGAATTTTTTTTTCTTTCAAAATTTAATTAATCTCTTTAAGTTTTGATTATTTTTGTTGCATAGGTGAATGTGTACTATAAAAAAGGAAGCAAATATGAATAAAGCTCAGATAAAGGCACAGAATGTGATTTTGTGCTTTATTCAAATTTTTTTACTCATAGAACTAAGCATATATTTACTTCATTTTGCCTTTAAACAATAAAACCTTTTTTGCTCTTTTTATTTAAAAAGGAAAAAAATAAACATGATCTTTATTTTATTTAATCTTTAAATGGTATTAAATCAATTATAATGAATTGTTAAAAAATAACTTAGTAGTAGCTTAGTATTAATTACTCATAATAAATTTCATTGTTTATCTTAAAAATCAATTTGTTTGTGTTTTTAATATTTTGTCATTAAACTTGCTTTTTTAGTTTTTTAATGTACATAAAAAAAAGATCTTTTTTTACTATATTTAAATTTGATAATTATTAATTTCGGAAACATAACTTCTACAAATGATGAATGTCTAAACTTTTGTTTTAATTAGTTAAGCATTTTTTAAATGACACAAATATAAGGAAAACAATTTTTTGTTTCATTATCTTATATAAAATTTATTTTATCTGCCAAAAAATTTATAATAATTATTGTTCCTAAATTTTTCATCTTTTTTCTCTGGAGTTTTTAACATAAAAACTAGAGACATTCTAATATTTTTGAAAAATATGTAATAAATATTAATTGTAATATAATATAAATTTCAACTCAAATTTAGAAAAAAAAAAATCAGGTGAAAAAGATGATATAGTATACTTTATATTGGAAGCCTCCTAATTTAATTTACTCTAATTCATTAAACTTTTTGTGCAAATTAGTTCAAAAACATGTTTATGGTTATAATGTAATAGAATCATTTAAATATATTTGGTAAATGATTCTAATTATTTATACTTCAAATTAGGTACTATTTTGCCCTCATTACATAAATATTATATAGCACATGATATATCCTACTGTGATTAAAATTAAACATAAAAATCGAAAATTTTGATAAATTTTTTTTTGCTTTATAGAACAAACAGTAAATACATAAAAATAGTTCTTCACTATAGAATGGTTTACTTTTCACTAGTATAATATTAGAACCAGCTTATCAAAATGTTAGCAAAAAATAAGCAAGTTATAGTTCTGTGCTGCATAACAGAAACCTTCCAGAACAGGAGTAAGCTCTGCAGAATATTACAGCATGTGCAGATTATGTTTCATCTTAGTTTCTGTTTATTTTTAAAAGGCAAGCAATCAAATGGGAGAAAATCACTGTGAGACTTATTTTTCAAATATTTCAAAACTTATTTCTAACAAAAATTAGTAAGCTGAATTGAGATAAAGGAATAAAAAGGAAATTTTTCCCCTGCTACTTTTAGGCTTAACAATATAAAGCGTTATTCTAATTAGCATCATTGTATAAATTTAAACATAAAATTTTTATATATGGCTAAGTGAATGTGAATATTTGCAAATTTCATTATAAGTATGTTAGATTAAAATGAATCTTTACAATAATATTCTCTACCTGACTTGCAGACAAATTCGAATTTTATGAAGAAGTGCTGCAGCTTCATTAAGCAAATTCTGCTACAGCGATTCTTTGCATCTTTTTTCTTTTAAAATACTAAAATAAATAGCATATTTTATTTATCATCAAAGTGGAACAATCCATGCACATAAATACCTCCTTGATATGAAAAATTACTGTGATATTTTTAAATTATTTTTAGTAAACATAGCATTAAGAGTAAAGCAACAAATTTACAGTGGAAAATATTCCAATATAAATTTAATTAATAACGCAATGTTTAGTGTTTTTTGGAGAAAAGTATTTTATTTAATTGTAGTACCATGCATTAACAGTTTTTAAAAAAAGGAAGAGAATGTTCCATGAAAAGAAAGAATTTTCGAATTTCAATGTTAAACACTTGCTTCATTTGTACTATTTAAATGTTATAATCCAGTTCTCTTTTTTTTTTTTTTAATTATATTAGTTTATATTTTTATCTAGATTGAATGAAAATTGTCATTCTTGTTACCATTATTGCTAATATCTTTATATATTTTAGACTAAGATTAAGTTACTTCCTATATAACTTTAATTATAGTAAGCAAATTTTTCTTTTTTAAAGAAAACTATGCATTGTGCAGGACAAAATGTCTATTTCCAGATAGGGAAGCAGATGTGGCATTTTAAAAAAATAAATTCTAAAAAAAAGGGTACTAAAATTCTAAAAAAAAGGGTACTAAAATTCAGCTTGATTTAGACTAAAAACAAATTATCCAGTAATAAAAATTTTTCAATGTAACTCATCTTACAACAGGCAGGACATAGTTAAAATAAAAACACTTATTTTTAAAAAGCTTCTGATTCATTAACTAAGCATTAATTATTTTTATTGGTGGTCTGCATGGTGGTTATATGACATTCAATATAGTTAATATTTTTTTTAAAAACAGTCTTCATTGGTAAACAGGTATTGCCATACCAGGTGTCTGTCCAGGCCAAATTTACTACCGATTAGCGGTACCTTCACAAATTCGACTTTGGGAAAAACAGTAGTTTTACAAATTACTTTGTCTTAAAATTTTATTTTTGTATCCCGTAAGAAACGTTAAATCAGTATTTTTTTTGGCCATATTTTTTTGTTGATTTTTTAATATAATTTTTAATT